CTCTCTCTCTCTCTCTATATATATATATATATATATATATATATACTAGTACATATACCCGTTCATAGAACGGGACAAGACACTATTAGCGGTAGAAACAGCTTAAAGAGAAGGCAGCATGTAGATGACAGTATACATAACAACAAATGCCAGACTTTAATTGAAAGATCTTATGTTTTTCCTAAAATGTTTTGCCTCAGCGCTGTTTTTGAGTCAGAAGATCCTTCAGAATAATTTGTCGGAGGCGGGGGTAAAGGTGGTAAATTCACCTGTCTATTCATGTAGCAAATAGACTTATTTTCTTCCTGTGCAAAATCGACAAATTAATGTAATTCTGGAAAGTTCGTGAGGTGGAAACGGATTGTCTGCGTTCTCATCTAGAGCTGGGGGACGCTGTTGTCGATTATCCTGATCATTGATCATGCCTATGATTTTGATCAAGATTTAGATCTATATTATCTTGCAACGGTAGATTTAGACCTGCTTGCCGTTAGATCTGGCAAGATCGGCGTCTGACCCTATCTCGAGATGGCATTTTCTAAATCTGTCTAGATCTAGATCTAGATATAGGCTAGTTTCAATTAAATGAGTAAAATCCTGAAAAACAGAAATATCTCAACGACTACCAAAATGAAAGTTCTGAAATGCTATGTACGGTCAACTCTTCTATATATGGCTGTGAACGCAGGACAAGTATTAAAGACAGTGAAAATAAAACAGAAGCAACATAAATGTTGTTTCTTATGTGACGGCTGAGAATATGTGGAAGGAAAAGAGATCAAATTAGGTAGCACTAAGAAACGTATAAATACAGTATTTTACCTTCTAATGTGAACATAGCAAGTTCAAACCTGACAAAGACTGGTGAAATATGACACAGGAAGGCAGTTTTAAATATGAATAACTTTCGAAACAAATGTAACTTTGCACGTGCAATTGTGATAAGGCTGTAAAGGGTTTCAAAATTGCTTTTTTCACACCATCTCTTTTTCCTCCAGTAGAGACAATGACTTGAAATGATTTGAAGCAAATGAAATAGTTTCTAAACAGAAAGCTATTTATTGATTTGCAGCAGCAATTAACAGCTACAAACAAATATGTGAGGCAGCGTGGTGGAATCAGGCTATCGTCAAAATGATGAAAATGAAGAAACTTGCATTTTTCCGCAGGTTTGTGAATTTTTTTCAGATTTTTGTTTTTTGGCTCAACACCTTTCATGTTCATTAAAGAACTCATTTCTGTGTGGATTTTCCCGAAAAATGTTGATTAAAGGCCCAAAAAATGTAAATTTTCAGTTTCCACGGACTTTTAAGCTAAGGAAATAACTAATCTTTGGTGGCCATTTTCTC